ATTGTAGTCTACTCTACCAGGATCAGGAAACAGTCCTTCATAAAATGTGCTGCACACATCTGAATATTTGGGTTGAACTGTTCTGGAACAGTGTTGTAAATACAACTTAACCACTGATTTCTAGTTGTGTCATCTTTTGGAAGCCCAAACAAAGTAGTTTCGCATTCACAACTAAATACACAGCGGGCTTGAGTGAGGAGACAAAGGAGCATCCGGCGGGCTTGCGGCAACCACATGTTACAACCCCGGGCTGGACTCCGCTTCGTCCGCGGTGAAAGCCGGTCCAGCGATCCACAGCGCGAAGTTGATGTATTCCCTCAGCAACCAGCACGGATCAGCTCCAGGCATGACGAAGCGGATATCGTCGGATATCGAGGACTTTGTCCTCGAAACAAAGTAGTTTCGCTTTCACAATGAAACACACAGCGCCTTCACAACATGGCGGCAGCAGCAACAACTACAGCGAGAATAAAAGTTACGCCTTCTTTCTCTGCGTGAACATTTGGGCGGCGTTATGCAAATCTTCCCACATCGTGACGTAGACATGTGGGGGCATGTTAGAACGAGCGGTTTTAGGTAGGCGTGGTTGACTCTTAACTTTTATAAAGAATATCTCTTTGGATTTGAGACTTTATTCTTTGCAACTTTACAGATCTTCTTTATGCACTAAGAGCTTGTAACACTTCAAAGAGAAAGGAAAAATGTAAATTGCATCATATGACCCCTTTAAAGCCCATACATTATTTTAGATATACTCGAAATATTCAGAAAAAAAATCACAGAATTCTCATTATATATCCATTAGTAGACAAATTAAATAAACTAGTGAGAGCGTAAAAAGAAAAGTTAATTTCTAAAAGTCAATAGTGCCTGTAGTTGAAGAAACACCAAATGACAAATTTGAATATAAACTGACCTAAATAAAGACCATTTGTAATGTAATGCAGCGATGGCCGTCAGAGTGCAGTCGTCACCAAGGTTTTCATAGTGGCGCCGTCTCCTTCAGATGAGCAGGATCTGACTCCAGGCCATGAGGATGACAATTTGATGAATGGCAGACCAATCAATGGCAAGGATGTCAGTTTGAACCCATTCTGGTTTTAACATAATAATACTGCATGTATTTAAGAATATGTTTTATAAATTTTACTTTATGTTGAACAGGATTCATTAATGAATTTGAAGGGGAGTGAAAATGGAGCTGGCGTTTCCTCTATTAAAAGTTTAGGTAAATCATTTGGTTCTAGTTTGTGTGCATTTGTCTCACACACACACACACACACACACACACACACACACACGTCTGGTTTGCTATCCTTGTAGGGACTCTCCATAGACGTAATGCTTTTTCTACTGTACAAACCGTATTTTCTATCGCCCTACACCAACCCTACACCTAAACCTACCCCTTACAAGAAACTTAATTATGTGTTTTGTTAGCTTGTTTACCTGTGGGGACCTCAATTTAGATCCGTGACACGAGTCCCCATGAGTCTCACACACACACACACACACACACATATATACATACATACACATACAAAATGTAAAAAAAATTAACAAAACTATTTTGCATAAGTTCAATTTTTTATCATGATCATTTCCTTCTTCATTACTATAACGTAAAATAAATTTTCATTAAGGCAAAGTAAAAATAATCTTGTTCTTATTACTGTAAAAATTTTATTAGTCAGGATAACTTAAATTCAGTGCAACAAATATTACCATGATACATATTTAAAATCCTACTTTACATTTAATATTCATAAAAATATATAAATATTTATTCATTACTATGTATTCATTAATATTTAAAAAATAATGTTCTTTTTTTCATGCATTCTGGTGATTAGAATGATATTTTTCACATTTCAGTAGGTTATTAGGGGAATGGAATTTTAATGTGCCTTGTCATGAATGGACAAAAATAGTATCATAATGCAAATAAATAAATAAATATGCCTAATTTTCTTTTTGCAATATATATATATATATATATATATATATATATATATTTGACTATCTTGTGGCAAATTTGCTCTCTTTTACATCAGATAATCCCAGTAGTGAATCTTGCAGAGCTTTGAAAGGCCCTCGGTTTCTTTCACAACGTCTCGGCCCCGGTTCATCTGCACGGCTGACGGTGCAAAACACGCAAGTAACGGTTTACAACATGCATAAAAACCCTTTCAAACAACCCTCACTATGATGGTGATCACTGTTATCTATTATACATCCTGTTTAACTTTTTTTCTCACTCCCACCAGAACCGGAGCGCAGATGGAGAAAGCCTCTTAAAAAACTTGACGAGCACTCAGATATCACGGGTCCAGAGAGAGACCGATTTCCTTAGGTGAGGTATATACGTTTATATTCATTATTTCAATATATTTAGATTAATATTCATCTTTCTGAAGATGTCCAAAGTGCCTGAGTCATCGCCCTTCGGATCCTTTCGCCCGGTTCTGCCTGCACTGTGGAGTACCAGTGCCTCCAATACCTGGTCAAAGACTGCCCCCTACTGAAGGAGGACAGGTACAACATATTTGGCTACTACAAAATTCAGTGATAGTCAGATAATAAGTGATCATTTCACAATAATATGAGTATTTGCTGTGATTTTTCATAGATGGGTCTATGTGTGCATTGTAAAACCATGGTGCCGCTCAATACAGCCACATGTGTGGTGTGCGAGTCTCCACTGACTCAACAACTACAGCCGCAGGCTAGTCTGAGACTACAGGTAAATTCTCACCTGTAGTAGATCACTCCTACTAGTACATGTACTTATTCGATCAATCAAGTATATTATATCCATATTATTCTAGGATAAGCTCATCTGTCACTCTTGTGGGACGGGAAACCCTGCTCATATCACACACTGTGTCACTTGTGAATCCCAGCTGCTTCAGCAAACCACAGTAAGAGCCCCGTTTCTCAGTATTGTCTTCCTTAGCCAGTCATTATTAGGATTGGGATAGGACACTATTATAACGGTTTTTATCATTCCACAGCCGGTTTTGAGCGGACAGAGAGCTGCACCTGTACCCAGCTCACAAGGCAAAATGGTCTCCTGCTCCAAGTGCAATAGAGTCAACCACTCGGATGCTCGATTCTGCGACTGGTGTGGGGCAAAGGTGACAAACCAGAACTGTTGAAGACTATTTCAGTCCATTTGTGTTGGTTTTGCATAAGTTAGTGGTCATCTATATATGAAGAGTTCATTTGCAAAAACTGATAAACTGAGCTGATTGCCGTGCATTATTCTCCACATATAGCGCGATCTGGACCCTAAACACGTTTAGTCAAAAAAGCCGGTTTTGTCCACTTTCAAGGCTACTTTCACTTTGAAAAGACGTGCTAGCTGAGAGGAGTTTCACCAAAGCTGACTCAAAGTGATCGAGGATGGATAATTTCGACGAACTTGATGAACCTGTGATATCTTCTTCAGGGCGAAAAAGGTAAATAAAAGCTGAAACGTTTTCACGGAACCTTGTAAAAGCAGCGCGGTACAATGGTGAGGGAAAAACTCTGTGTATTGCGTGTAATCACATCCATACAGTCTATGATCACAACAACAACAACGTTTGTCAGGCATCTACATTGTCATCTGAGGAGATTACAAAGATTAAACGAGTGTTTTTTAAAACTCTAAAACATGAAATGTGGAGTTATCTGCTTTTGCTATAAAACAAACTTTTAATATGTGAAAAAAAACATACTTTCAATGAACTTTAATTTAGTAAATTACCTGTATTTGTTTAAGTTATTATTACTTAATCAAAACAACCCAACTGCAGTTTGATTGATATTACTTGGAATGCGGAATAAAAAAATAAGTTCATCGGTTTTTGCAAATGAACTCTTCATATGTAAATGTCATCTACATGCACGTGTGCTCAACTGTTTGACAAAACAACATTTTAGCACATTTAATGCATTTAAATAGTACATTCTCTTCAAGGAAAATTGAACACAAGTTTTGATGACTCATCTTGTTCATAGGGGCATGTGCAATTTTTGTCCAATCAAATGCTCTGTAGAATGAGAATGCCCCTCCCCTTCATTACCATCTTTCTATTGGTAGCATTTAGCGGTTAGAATATCATATAGCATAGCATATCTATGGCAGGATCCATTATCATGTCAGAAAGATCATATTTATGAGTTGAACGCACTACAAAATTGTAATTACAAGTAGGAAACTGGGTTTCCGAGTTGGGGGCGTGTCCATAAAACATGTCACACATAATGGATACAGCATCTGTATTTATGGAACATTTGTTGAAATTAATAGAATTGTTTTTTTTATTTTTTTTTATTTTACGATCACAATCTTGCTTCCAACAAAAGTGGTTTGATGGCTGTTGTTGTAATCACGACTTCCCAACTCGTAAATACGAACTTACCCAGAAGAACTTGAACCGACTAGACCTTTTGATATGTACCACCTCAACGTATAATTGGCAGTGTTTGTGTGAACTCGAATGCCGTGTGATTTTGTGTTTATATTTGCAGCCCGGCCACAAAGCCAGCTCTGTGACTTGTTCTCAGTGTGGAGCTAGCAGCCATCCTTATGCTAA